AAACTAGCATTCTGTGTGTAACATCATCAAATTTTGTGTAATAATCTTGCATCATATGCTCCAATTGCGCTACTGGATGGTTGTTTCTTAGATCTATGTTCTCAAACTTGTGGCATTGATCTAAATCGCGCTACTGGATGGTTGTTTCTTAGATATATTTTATTTGTTCTTGCAGTCGCAAAACGTAAGCTTTGCTATGGATGCCTCAAGAAAAGCGCAGATCGCGTTGGCAGCTGCTAAGGGAAAATCGTTTGATTCGCGATATAGTAGTGATGCTATATCATCTATCAAAAAGGCTCTAGATTTCAGTTTTCACGACATGGAGAAATTGTTGCATGTGGTGAGGCTAGCTATGGAATTCATCAACCGGTGATTATGAATGATGATCTCATTTTTGTCGAAGTAAGCCTTAAAATCACTCGGCAAACTCAGAGAGAAGAGAAGGGAAGGGAACCTTCGAGTTTTGCTTGGAAAATTGAAGACAAAGAGCCTCTATATAAACTTTGTTTGTTCTATTTGCTACTCAGGTTGTATAGTGTGTTAGGACCTTGATTTTGTGAGACTTGCTCAAGATTAAAGATCAAAGTTTACCATTTGGTGTGTTGTATGTATGTATAATTGTACATATATATATAAATATTATAAGGGGAGAACTTTAGGAAACGATAGCAGTATTCTTCTTAAAAGACCGTGAAACCAAAATTACTCAATCTGGCTTTGTAGCAAATGTTTCTTAAACAAAAGAGAGGTTTTTTTCGAATTCCTTTCGTCCATATTTTCATTTTAGACAATTATGAGAAGTAGTCCAAAATTTATATCAAACTATTAGAATGGCCTATAATTTTTTTCCAAACTAAGAAAAATCGTTTAAACTATTTTATTTAGATTATTTTTCCGAATTATCCTTGATCTCTATTTTCAAAATAATATTAAGAACCTATTGTTTTCCATGAGGTCGATCATACTACCCACAGAACAGAGTTTTGTGACTTGAAGATGATGGAACCTAATCCTATATATATTTCTGAAAGAAAAAAAACTAGAGTAAAGACAATTTATCTTTTTCAAACACCAAAAATCCATCCAAATTGTATTGTCTGAGAAAAAAAAAAATGTAAAAGACCTTTACAAAAACCGAAAAACTATAATATGTTTTGCTTTTGTCTCTCTTTTGTATATCTTGTGATTAAGACTAAGCCAAGTACTTGAACATGTTTGGATTTTCGCTGTCCCTCTCCAAATAGTCTCTGCTGATCAAATCTTCAATGCGTTTCTTGATCATCTTTATATCAGGCTGCAAAAAGAAGACAAAAACATGAAACTTCCTTCTTAATCTTCTTCATGTTTATCGTAATTATTGTGTCAATCGAATTTTGTATATTTACCTTGAACATTCGGCTTAGATGCTCAACACACTCAGAGACTAACTGTTGATGGCCCAACACTTTTCTGCTCTTCATGATCCGAACAACCGCTGCATCAATCGCATAACGTCTGTCTTTGTCAACATCCTCGACTACTTTCTTCCTCTCATCCATTGGAGGGAGAGGGACCTGTTATTCATGTTTTCCCAATTTGGAAGAATATCATTAGTCTTTTGTTTTATATAATCCGAGAGACATGAAAACAACACAATGATGCTCTTACTCTAATTCTCCGCATTCTATCGGTGAACTTGGAGTTGAACTCGAAAACATCCGTTCGTGAGATGCTTTTTGACATTGGTTCCTTGTTAAGAATCTTGTACTTTGCGCATGACAGTGAGTGAAGCAGCCTCACAAGATCTTCATGGCTAAGGTTAAGCTGTTCCAACATCTCATTGTAGCTTAATCTTTGCGTGTTGTTGAAAAGCAAAAGCACAGCAGCCTGGAACAAAAATAAATTAGATGGAAATATGTAATGTTATCAATACAAATGAGAAATATAAGTCACGACGAGACAAACCAAAAACAAAAAGATACCTGGTAGGTAGAGACGAGTAATTCGATTGGTTTTTGATCGAATTTTCCCATAATGTGACAAGTTCCCAGAGAATAAATCCATACAAGTCTCCTATGTTTGGTTTTCGTTTCATAAAATGCCTTGAAAACTTCAACACATTTGACCTGAAACAAAAAAGAGAATCAACTAAGTTAA